GCATTCCTGAATGCCGTTGTTGAGCCAAGGGGGTTTTTGAGCACTCTTACCCGCCTTGCTTCTCTCAGGGACTGTTATCCTTTGGGCCTGGAGGATCGCCCCTTTAAGGTATGACCATCCCTCGTGACTCCCATCTTCTCTACCTTCTGGGCCCCCAGTGCCTCCCCCACTAATCTCCTAAGCTCATTGAAGTTGGCCTTTCTGAAGTCAAGGGCTTTAGCCTTGGTGTAAGCCCTTGAGGCCCTGCGTTGGATAGTGAAATGTGTGTGATCTTACACCCACCTGGAAGGCCACAAACCACTGACTGCAGTGACTTCTTGACATGGCTGCAGAATTCCTCTTCTCTATCCAACAGAGTGTTTCAGAGGGCCTGTCCCTCAGTTTTACGGTGTATAAAATGAAAATAATTGGTGTAAAATGTGCGCTTAACTCATGGGAGAGATCTGGCCTTTGAGACAGAATCTGGTCCGCTAGGCTCCCTGTGGGCCCCGGAATTTGGCAGCAGCGGAGCAGGGGCAGCTAACTGTTACTACCCTATTGATGCTAGATTGAGTAAACAGGGCCAACTGGGGCAGTGTAAGGCTGGGCAGGGCTAACTGGGGCAGCAGGGAGCAGAGCTGGGTGGCAGGGAGGGTTAAAAATAGACAGCCAGCTTCGTGTGAGAAATATTGGCTCAGTCTGTAACAAAACAGGTGCAATCCAGGCTTAAATGGCCATTAGATCAAATTAGCCATGGTTGTTCTGAAGCAAAGTGTTAATTTGAATAACTCACAGGTACTTAATGCAGGACATTGAACTTGGTGTCTGTAAGGTCTGGATTTGATGTGGCCCAAATCAAATTGGTTGCAATTGGCCCCTGCATGGCCAAAAGACTGAGCACCACCTGTATAAAATCTATTAATTAAGTTTGCTTGAAGGCAGAAAACCCCAAACTCAACTTCAGTTTGATATCTTTATCTGCATAGCCCTAATCTACTTTAAGTGAAGCAATATTATGCTTTGAGACTAACAACATGTTATAAGGTACAGGAACGAATGGAAAGAAATTGTTCCAGGAGTCAAGGACAGTTTTAGGCATAGACTGGATAAACTGTCACATTTTAGGCAGCCTCTCCTGAGCACTCTTCTGACAGCCCCCCCCCCCCCTCCTTTGACCCTGCTTGTGCTCTGTTTTATGCAGCAGGTACCTTTGAATCTAATATTCTGCAGAGTCCTTTGTGCTGGCAGCCACAATGTCTCTTGTAAAGCACTGCAGCACAAAGGAATCTCGGCCCTGTTTGGAGAATACAA